GAATTGGGCAAAGAGGAGGGAGGAGAGGAAGGGGAGGGGAGGGGGCATGGGGGTAGGAAAGACGGTGGAATGAGACAGATAACATTACCCTAGGTACATGTATGATTGCACGAATGGTGTGACCTTACCTCATGTACAACCAGAGAAGTGAAAATGTGTGCTCTATTTGTGTACAACGAATGGAAGAGCATTCTGCTGTCATGTATAACTAATTAGAACAAAAAAAAATTTAAAAATAAGTCTCAAAGAGGTTATTTATTAGGACTTACAGTAATAAGCAGTTGAGGGACACACCTACCCAAGAGCACTTGCTTCTGACTCCCAAGTTTCACCCACTTAGAATCTGCTAAGTTTTGAATGTTTGTTCCCCAGAACTCATGTGTTGGCAACTCGATCCCCAAAGTATTGGGAGGTGGGACCTTTGGGAAGTGACTGAATGGATTAATCCATCCATTGCACTAAGGGATTATTGAGGGAGCCGCCGTGTTATAAAAGCAAGCTCTCTGGCACCCTTGCAGTCTCATCATGGGATGCCCTGTGCTGCTCTGGGACTCTGCAGAGGGCCCCATCAGATGACTCACCAGATGTGTTGGACCAATGCTGAACGCCCCAGCCTTCAGAAGCCCAGCAAACCGTTATTCTTTATAATTAACTTAACTCGGGATGTTTAGTTATAGCAGCAGGAAAGGGACCAAGAATCCATTTCCTAGGAGGGGCTTGGTTTTGTATTAGAACAGCCAAACTTTCTCACGTATCTCCTGGAGTCCACTGACTTGGTCCCCAGCCATGGCACTTGAGAAGTAGTGGAAACCTTGGGGAGTGGGGTCTAGTCTTTGTGAAAGGACTCCCGGACTTTGAGGGGGGGAAACAGCAAAAATAACCTTTTGGGGACAGGGAAGCAGCCTGTCAGGATCCGTGCCAAGCGCTTCGCATGCCTTTCCCGTCAAATCTTCATCACAAACCCAGTGCTAGGAACTTTTCACAAGCCCTCGGTTTACACCCTGGGGCGCAGAGCCATTAAGTAACGGGAGTGGCATGTGTTAGCGGTGGCTTTCCGACTCAGCAACCCTGATCCGAGTCCCCGGGTTTGGGCTCCGGAAGTCTTCCACCTGCTGGCAGTTTAGCTGCATGCAAAATTCACCATCTGCAGAGGCCGGAGCAGACGGATGCCGGCGCCCTTTCACCCCACCCACAGCGCAGTGACACAGGCAGCCCCGCCCCTGCCCTTTGCTCCTTCCCACACCTGGGGTGGGTGGGGCCAACCCCCTGGAGCCCAACCCCCTGGGGCTCTGCAGAGGGGGAGCGTCTCCGCACCTCTCACCCCGCACCCTCCAGGGGGCAGGCGGGAGGTCTGGGTCATTCAAGCCTCTGGCTTCCTAGATCCCCAGGTTCCATTTCCGCACCTCCACCCCGAGAGTGAACAAGTAGAGCTGCTGTCTCGCAGTCGAAGGGAACAAACGACTTCCCCATTCAGACGTGAGACTGGAAGTGGGAAGGAGAGAGGGAACCTCGAGGGGTTGGCCTGAGCTTAGGTTTTGACGTCAGCGATCTAGTGTTTCTCCTTCTCCCTCCCTCTCTCCTTCCTTCCTTCCCGACCCCTTCCTGCTCTCTCCTCTCTACCCTCCCTTCCTTCCTTCCCTCCTTTCTTTTTGAATAGTGCACTGTTTTGCTGCGCACAAATTGCAACACACAGCCTGAGCAAGCACCAACCAAAGTTCTTGCTGCTGCTGCCTGATCCCTTTGTCCACTGTCATGGTTGATACCACATGTTCCCTGAAAGCTGGTGTGTTGAGGCTTGGTCCCCAGCCATGGCACTTGAGAAGTAGTGGAAACCTTAGGGAGTGGGGCCTAGTTGGAGGAAGTGGTTCACTGACACCCACCACTCTCCACCTTCACCTTCTGCTTTGTTCCTCTCCAAGCTTCCTGCCTTAATTTTCTGACCACCACCAGCCCAGAGGAATGGTATCAAGCAACCATGGACGGAAACCTCGGAAACTGTAAGTCAAAAGAAATCTTCCCTCCTTTTTTCTCTGGTATTTTGTTACAGCAATGGAAAGCTGACTGGTACACCAACGGCAAGGCGACTGAAGTGGTTGAGCTGCATTCAGAATATTTCACATACTTGGGGTATTTTTTGTGGGGGATTCTGATGTGTCTTTGTTGTGACTATTCTGCCCTTAATTAATATATGTTCTAGCGCCTATTAATAACCCTCAGCACACTTGCCTCCTGTCACAGCTCTTCCTGCATAGATGGAGTGATTGTGTAGCTTGTGAGCTTCAGCTGGGTCTGAGTATGTTGTTCTGGTTTGCTCCCTCTTCTGCATCCACCATTCCCAGACCACACCCACCCCTTGCACGTGTCCTTGACTCCTCCAGCTATGTAGTCGGAAGCTTCCCACAAAGACAGTGTCTACCTCAGCTTCTTTCTCCCCAAGAAAGCTCTCATGGCAGGCAGCTATGATTGCTCAGTCTACTCCCCCAGAAAATACAGATTTTTTGTTGTTGTTGTTTGTTTTCTGGTACCAGGGATTGAATCCAGGGGCACTTAACCACTGAACCACATCCCTAGCCCTTTTTTACATTTTATTTAGAGACAGGGTCTTGCTAAGTTGCTTAGGGCCTTGCTAAGTTGTTGAGGCTAGATTTGAACTTGTGATCCTCCTGCCTTATCTTCCCAAGCTGCTGGGATTACAGGTGTGCGTCCATGCATCTGGCAAATTGCATGTTTTAATAACTTGCCTTCTGCACATGCTCATCTAAAATCCCCTGCAAGGATACTTCTTGAAAGACTTGGATTGCTTTCCTGCAGGCCGGCAGATTTCAGGCTCCTGATGTCAACCTGGGCCTCTGCCTCCAAGCACAATCTCTCTGAGTTGTTGGAGATCTTGTCTCTCAGCTGGGAAGCTTATGCAAGCCACCATATAACCATTGGGGTCCTGTCCAACTGTGCTCCTGAAGCAAGCCACTTAGCTCTCTGGAGCTTAATGTTCTCCTGGAAAACAGAAATTCAATTTAGTAAACATCAATTTGATGCCCACCATGTACAGAGAGCCCAGAGTCAGGAATTGGGTATCTAGATGCAAAGGTAAAAAGAATATGGTCTCTTCCCTCAAAAATGTAAAGTCAAACAAAACAGATAAGAATTTTAGAAGTAGAGTAACCCCACAGCAGAGTAAAGTAGATCTGGAAATAAGAACATTCATACCTGAATTGTCTTCTTCATAAGATTTGTTGCCAAGAATCAAATGAAAGCAGGGAAATTTGGTATTCTTAAGCACTTTGCAGTGTAAGCAAATCCTATGTTATTAATTGACTTCTGTAGGAGATACCAATTGAGTTTTCTGCCAAAATTTCTCTTCTTTTCCAAGAATGGCCCCTATATCCAAAAATCACATGGTATCAGAGGTGTCACCTTCTGTTACCTCAGGTTCATTTTTGGCCATCTTGGTTGATTGAACCAGGTGCAGACCCCTGACTCAGGCTGGGCCTCTTGGAGTCCCTGCTCTAGGTTTGGAATGGGAGTGAACTTTATCTCAGTTTGGGCTCTTGAGTGACGGACATACAAACCCTGGAAGCATGGAGAACTGTTTTCTGAAAAGGCAGACTGAAAATTAAAGAATACCAACTTCAGCAGGTCTGCCGCGCGACCAGCACGCTAGCTTCATACCAGAGGTTCGAAACATAGAAGTTAACTAGTGAGATCAAAATAAAGATAAAACTCAGTTTACCTTTTTCTTGCCCAGCTAAGAGACGGCTTCTCCCGGCTCCTGCCTCGAGCCACGTGGTGGTAGCGAGGCTTACACAAGAGACCAGCAGGAGAGAGGAAGAAGCACACCAGAGAGTGGGCTTTTATTGGGGAACAAAAAATTCAGGGGGAAATTCCATCCAATGAAAGTCAGAGGGGACAGCATTCCAAGGTCAGGGTCAGTGATTGGTTTCCAGGTCAATGGTCAGTCACACCCCCACACAGGCCCTCGCACCTGGAAAGGGTGGGGATAAAGCTCTGACACAGCTGGCCTGAGCGCCTCACACCCAGTCAGGGAGGTAGCCCAATCACATGTGAGAACGGCTTCCCACAAGCAGGGAGAGAAATGTAGCAGAGGTTCAGAGAAGAGGAAAATAAGAGAACAAAGGCTCCCTGGCATTCAGGCCTTGGTTCATATCTGTTTCTGCCTGCTGGAAACAGTACCCCAACAAGGGCCATTGTTACCGAGGACAGCTGTGGTGGGTTTCAATCATATGTAATTAGCCAAGTGTGGTGGTGCACAATTATAATCCCAGTGGCTTAGGAGGCTGAGGTAGGAGGATTGCAAGTTCGAGGCCAACCATCGCAACTTAGTGAGGACTTAAGCAACTTAGCAAGATCCTGTCTCAAAACAAAAAATGAAAAGTAGTGGGGATATAACTCAGTGGTAAAGCACCCCTGGCTTCAATCCCCATTACCAAAAAATAAATAAATTACATATAATTAAAAGATTCATAATCAGTTTCTAAGCTCATTTAATTCAGACTCATATAGAGCAGAAGTCTTCCCTTAGCCCCAGTAAGAGCTATGAATATCTTTGCCAACTATTTACAAGGCTTTTAGAAAAAAGGTGACTCTATCCTGCATGACATAAAGCAGCCACTGGGTGGCAGCCTTCTGGCCAGACAGCTCTCAAAGCTCCTGAAATTCCCCAGTGTGCCCTGAGAGCACTTGGAAGGCACCTAATGGAGCTGTCACTCGTGGCTGTCCCTGACAAGTTCTGGAGCCTAAGACACTATGGTGTTTCTCTGCCCATCAATCTCTCCTTTTGACAGACACTAAACTCATTCCCTTCCTACACTTACTTTGGGGGAACTGTCTCCACCCCATTCATATTCTTCTGGCAAGGCTGTTAATCACAGGACACCCCTCCCCTGACCACACAGTGGACCTAAGATCTAAACTAATTAATTGAATCTCTTTATGGAGAATTCAAATTTCTATCTGAGTTACAAATACAGAGGAGAGTTGGAGCTGGGTCATCCCACTGCAGTTCCACATAGAAAAGCTCGCCAGGTGCCCTGCTGAGACAGGGGCAGTCCTGTCCGTGGACCCAGTTGTTCCTTTAAATCTGCAGCTACCCATTGCCCATAGCTCAAAAAATGAACATCTTTTGAACTAAATTAGTCAATCAGTTGTTTTTAACCAATGAGTCTTGACCTTGCTCCTCTGTGCTTTCCGGAGTAAAGGCCATGGATGAGTAAAGAACACAGAAGGAAAAGAGAAAAACTGCATTGTTTCCCCTACCTAAAATTACAGCCCCAGCCTACCTCATGCCTTAATGAATCTCTAGCTACCATAAGGCTTTTATTTGTGGAAATCTTACACATTTGACTGAAAGTCGAAGCTTATTACAGAACAGCAAATCTGTTATTTCTACAAAGCCCCTGTTAGCTGTCTCTGCACCTGTTCTCTCTTCTGCCAAGCTACCTATGCTCCCTTCCAAAGAGGGTGGGGGTGTGACCAGGACCCAGATTCCAAACCAGGATGCAAGTGGTACTTAAAGAGACAGACCCAAGGCAGGTGTGGTGGAGCACGCCTGCAGTCCCAGCATCTTGAGAGGCCGAGGCAGGAGGATCACGGGAGCTCAGGATCAGCCTGGGCAACAGAGCAAGACCCCATCTTAAAAAGAGAGAGATAGGCCCAAGTTTTTTTTTTTGTTGTTATCAATGTCCTTAATGGACATTATATATTCTTTCTAGTCAACATAGTTCTCTCAGAAATGTATTCCTAATATCATAGAAGTTGCCTCCTACAGAAAGACTTGTAGAATCCCAACTATTAGACCAATAATATGGAGCTGAGTATTAGCAGATCTAGAATCAGACCTTAGAACTTATTATTACCAGAACAGAGTTCTTTCCACTATTCTAAGCCTCCTTTCAGACTACAATTTGTTTTCTTTAAATATAAGACTTTTTAAATTTCTCTATGTAAATGTTTTGCTAAGCAATACATTTTCAACAAACTATCTGCCTGCAGAAACCCCCAAAGTATTTGCTTCCACTAATATGCAAGATCTACACATTATGTAAATTGTGTGTCAGTAGCAATATAGAATCCCAATAACATAATACCATGCACATCCAAATTTAAACTAATAAGAAGATAAACAAAGTCAGCTTCTTGGTACTTGACGGTGGTAGATATTTTTTAACTCACTAAAGTGACTCAATCATGGTAGAATCAAAACCAGCAAGAGGAAATGACAGGGAATTTGATTGGGGCAAGGTGTGTTTAAGGAGACTGCCCAGAGATAGCAAGCTTCCCATCACAAGAGGTTAAGCAAAGGTTGGACAGACAACCATTTGGCGAGGATGTCATACACCAGTGGTTCTCCAGCTTTCAAAAGTATCAGAATCACCCTGTGGACTTGTTAAAGCTGAGACGGCTGGCCCCAGAGCTTCTGATTCGGAAGTCTGAAGTGGGGCTTACGATTCCACATTTCATCCCAGCGCCCAGGCAGTGCTGATGCTGGTGGTCCAGGACACACTCTGAGAACCACTGTGTCTAGTAGAGGGAATTCAGAATCATGAATCAAGCTGCTTCACTCCAGCCAAGGGATGCAGGGCAGAGTCACATTTCTTTTTACTGTCCTATCAAACAGCTTGAGTCCAGTTTTTTCCCCATGAGGCTGGACCTCTTTCCTGCCTGGGGGCTACTGCTGGTCATAGTCCTAAATCCTTCCCATGTGTCTCTGTGCTAATCTTGAACCTGGGACAAAGAAAGCCACCATGAGGCTGAAGGACACCACCACTACCCCGGTCACTGGCTTTAAGATAGGCTGTCAGAGACAGCTCACACCTGGGACTCTACACCCTCTGGCATCGCTGCCATGGGCGGTGGGATGTGCTGTCGATGGAGGTCATGACAAAGCCCCAGTCCTCTTCCACCCCAAGTGCCTCAAGGAGGGAAAGCCAAAGAATCTGCCATTGCTGCCCGAGGAGCCACAACTGAATTAAAGGACAGATGGCGGGGCCCTGTGCCATTCTTGCCCACATCTGTGAAAGCACATGGCCAACAATTATTGACCCATCACTCTATACCAACTATCGTTCTGACCACGTTACATGGAGATCTCGTTTCGTCCTTGTAACAACCCTATACAATACTAATTGTAGAATGAGGATTTGTACCCCAGTTCTTCAGCTCTGCATCCCCACATTCTTTATTAGACAAAACAGCAGGATGTATTGGAAAAAGAAAGAGGTTGCCTCACCCACCATTAAGCTAGGCCAGAACGCAGCCCTGGATCTTACCATGTGCCACCACCCCTCCTAGGCCTGGCCTCTTTAGTTTGATCTGTGTTTTTCCCATACACTTGATTATTGCTCCCAAGCACTCTAGGAGTTCTACGTGGCTAGGGCAGAAGGTTTCCACCCTTAATTTTGCCCGTGCCAGCCTGGTGTTGAACCCAACTGTTATTCCAGGGGATGGGAATAGGAAAACCTCAATTTTGACCGCTCCTTGGGGAACCATGATGTTCCTTTCTGCTGGTTGAATTTGTTGTGTTGTGCGTGTTTGTTTTGAGATGAAGGTCTTTCAGTGTTGCCCAGGCTGGTCTTGAAGTCTTGGGCTCAAGTGATCCACCCACCTCAGCATGCCAAGTAGCTGGGGCTGTGGTTGCTTGCTTCCGTGCCAGACCTCGCTCTTGACTGGGACCATCTCAGGCATTAGAAGTATCAAATAATGTTAAACCCCAAAAGATATGTAGGTTGGCTATTACTAGATCCTTTTATTCATTGGGGGTCCTTGGCCCTCAATGAATAAATACTATTCCACCCTTTTCCCACATCATCCACATAATAAGTGAGACCAAACTTAGCCATGAACTTGCCCTGTTGGCTTCATTCCCCTAGAGTAACAGACCACCACTTGCTTTAACTTTGCCTAACCAAAGAGCCAACTCAATTCTTGCAAAGTCCTTTGCTGTATCCATTCTAGACTCTGGCTTCAGCAGATGACCCCTTTAATGGGCAGTTTCTCTCTCTAAATAACATAATTAAATCTTTACCTCATCTGGGCCCTTCTACCTAAGACTTGACATTAATACTACTATTATTCAGCATCTACCCAACACCAAATACAGGTAGGGCACACTGCTAGGCGCCAGAAATAGAAATAAGATACAACCTCCGAACGTTCTCTCTGACATGCAGATGCTAACTCACAGTAATGGGGAGCAGAATAGAAATTCACTGGATTAGACAAAGGAGAATGAAGGGAAGTAGGAGGGGATGGGAATAGGAAAAGCAATAGAATGAATCAGACATAACTTTCCTATGTTCTTATATAAATACATCCAGTGTAACGCCACATCATGTACAACCACAAAAATGGGGAGTTGTAATCCATTTATGAGATGTCAAAATACATTTTCCTGTCATGTATAACTAAAAAGAACAAATAAAAACTTCAAAATAAAAAATAAGAAATAAGAGGCTGGGGTTGTGGCTCCGTGGTAGAGCACTTGCCTAGCACGTATGAGGCACTGGGTTTGATTCTCAGCACCACATATAAATAAATGAATAAAATAAAGGTTCATCAACATATAATTTTTTTTTTAAATAAAGAAAGAAAGAAGGTGTAACCTCTCCTAAATAAATAGGATGAAACCTACATAGGCTGCAACATCATCCTAGGTCTCCTGCCCCACAGATGATAGGAAGGACACGGGGAGGGAAAAGGAGGAGTCCCTGAGCAGGTAAGAGAGAGAGACAAAAGGAATAGTTTGAAGACTGCTAGTAAAACCAGAGTAGCCTGAAATTAAGTCTATTCAGGGACAGGCTTAACAGGGAAAGCTTATCACTGAAGCTATCAAAATAGACCCACTTACTAAATAGGGAGGCAAACTTCACTCTTGCCAACTCTACATAGAAACATCCTAGAAGAACATATTTTTCCCAGTAAGTTCCTCTGAAACACATGATGGCATTCCTGTTTGAAGAGCAAAATAATCAAGGTACGGATGGTCAGCAGTTTGCCCAATATTAGAGCAAAGCAGTGCAAACGCTTGAAACGGGTCTTAGGGGTATGCTGGGAACTGCCTTAGAGTCCACAAATGGCTTGTCCTTAGGTCACCATTGTCGCCATCTTTCACTGCATAATAAGTTACCCCCAAACTTGGGCATTTAAAATAATAACCATGTATTTACTCATGACTCTGCACCTAGTCATGAGTAAATACATGGTTGGGGGCTGGGCCCACCTAGTGAGAACTGCTGTTCTCACCTGGAGTCACTCATCAGCCTGCAGTCAGCTGGTAGATTGACAGGAATCCGTGGGCATTGAAAACTCCGAGGCATTGTAAGGGCAGAAAAAAACATGGTGGGCCTGAAGATAAATTCTGTCAGCTTCACAATTTTGTTCAAGTGTAGCCTCAAGGCCTCCCTAACAGTTTTCTCATCATTATCATTGAATTGCAGGCCCCAGATCCTCCAAGAACCCCAATTCCATGACACTCGCTGTGGGGGTTTCCTGGTTCAAGAGCACACCACTGTATGTCACTGTTGCCTGCGGAAGTTTGCCAAGTTTGTAGGCTAATACAGAGATACCCAGGAGAAGTGGCTCGATAAGATTTGGCCCAGAGTGTTGTCTAGGGGCAGAGCTGAATTCAAAGCAGTGTCTAGAACACATCTTACTAAGGGAGGACCTTGGAAAGGAGGAAAGGGGAAAAAGGACTCCGGAGATGATAACAGTGGGTCCTACGATCAAGGACACTGTCTGTGTTCAGCCATGGATAGCTCCATGCCAAGAGAGATAAGTGGGAGAGAGTCCAGCCAAGAGCAGAATAAATGACTAAGTGATGGGGAAGCTGATTTATGAGGCCAATTTAAAAGAACTCACCAAAGCTCATTCATTTAACAAAATGTAACTGAAAGCTAATTTCCTATCAGTGCCTGAAAAGCAATGGAAATGTACACATAATAGATGAAGGAAATATCAAATACAAAAGTCAGCTTGTCTAGCAAACACAGTAAGTAAAATGAGCATGATGTCTGCATTAAGCAGACCAGTTTTCATCTAAACTTCTCTCTCTCTCTGTTGTGACAAACCTCTTGTTGACAGTTTCTCATTCTCTTCCACATTTCTCTTTGTTCCCTCCATTTTCCTTTTTAAGTCTGGTGAATGTTATAATTATAGGTAAAACCCCAGTTGTCAAGAGTTCTTATTCTTTCACTTTTTTGGTACTGGGGATTGAACCCAGGGGTGCCATAACGCTGAGCTACATCCCCTGATCTTTTTATTTTTTTTTTAAATTTTGGGACAGAGTCTCACTAAGTTGCTGAGGCTGTCCCTGAATTTGCCATGCTCCTGCCTCCACCTCCGGAATAGCTGGGGTTACAGGACTTGAAGAGGGAAAGAATGCATCCAAAGACACACCGCTCCTGGCTCCCATCTGCTTTTAGAATTAGACGCTCCCTCAATCCAGGAGCTCAGGGAAGATAACAAATGATCCTAATTTCAACATCTTAATATAATCACCATAGCCCTTTGGAGCACTTCCTTCTAATCATTTTTCTTATACATTAGAACCACTCCGATCAGACCAGATCATCTCAGTGCATATACTGGAGATGCCAATTTTTGGATGGTTAATTTTAAATGTCAACTCGGCTGGGCCATGATGCTTGGATATTTGGACATTATTCTAGATGTTTCTGTAAGGACATTTTTGGATAAAATTTACAATGATGGACTTTGAGTAAAGCAGTTTATCCTCTATGATGCTATGGGCCTCACCTGAGCTGTTGAAGTCCTGACTAGAACAAAGGTTGACCTCCCCCAAGCAAGAGGGAATCCTCCAACAGAATGCCTTTGAACTTCATCTGCAACATGGGCTCTTCTGGGTTCTATAGTAGACTGCCTTTGGACTTCAACTGCAACTCTTTGCTATGTCTCTAGTCTGTTGGCCTCCTCGGTTGGACTTTGGATTCACCAAGCCTCCATAAGGTAAGGGAAGGCACCTGATCAAAATAAATCTCTTTACACACATGCACCATACCCTGTTAGTTTGGTTTCTCTGGAAAACCCTGTTTGATATAGATTTATACATTGTTAAATATCATCAATGATATAGGTAAGCATTCAAAATAGTAAGAATGAGATCTTGGACTTCCTCAATTAAGAATCCAGAACTGGGAGTTTTAAAAATCCTACAATTATGAAATTATGGTATGTGGAGCTCTTTTTTTTTTTTTTTTTTGGTACCAGAGGTTGAACCACATCCTCAGACCCTTTTTGTATTTTACTTAAAGACGGGATCTCACTGAGTTGCTTAGGGCCTTGCTAAATTGCTGAGTCTGGCATTGAGCCTGTGATCCTCCTGCCTCAGTTTACCAAATGGCTGGGATTACAGGCATGTGCCACCACACCCAGCCAGATAGAAGCTTTTGCAAGCAAAGGAGGCAATAGTTTTTGGGAGATGTATTAAATGGTTCAAAGGCTATTTTATTTGAACTCTGTGAATTAAAAATGAAAAATTAAAATATATCTTAATATCAGCATGATCACTCATAATGTTGGCCATTTAGTCCTCTGTCTCACAGCTAAAAGATTTGCTGACAGGTCTCTTTATTTTGAAAAGGGAGACTGGTACCAATTCTACATGAAATAACAAGTAAAAAGAGATTTTATAAGACAACAGATTAATCACCTCCTCATCAAAATGCCTTATTAAATGTCCTTTTACATGTAATATACTTACATGTAAAAGTATTTTACAGAGACATTAATGAGTTATGAACAATTGCATGCTAATAGCTAATAATTATCATTTATTGAATATGTACTATATACCACACTGTTTTATATGCATTAAATCTCTAAATCTCATTATATGATAAAGAGTTTGTTTGGCCTTTTCCCCATTTCCTGGGAGGAAAACTAAATTCTTATAATTTCCTAAGTAATCAGAGTGGTTCTATTATTCATAGGGTCCTTGAATCATACTATATGTGAAAGAGGTCACACGAGATGGGGTTTGTTCACACTAGAAAGACCAACCATGTGATTAGAGGGTTGGGGCTTTGAGCTCTGTGATGTCACTGACCCCCGGGAGTGACAGGGATGGGGAGGAGGACTAGAAATGGACTTTGATCATATGACAAGTGATTTGATCCATCATGGTTATGCAAAGAAATATCAATTAAAAACTCTGAACACTGAAACTCAACTGAACTTTCTGGTTGGTGATATACATTGCTTTGGACTGAATGTTTAAATCCCCCCATAATTCACATGTTGAAGCCCTAATTTTCAACAGAATTATTTGGAGGAAGGACCTTTGGGTGGTCGGAAGAAGTGCCGGCTTTGGCTCCACCTTCATGAATAGGATTAGTATTCTCAGAAGAAGAGACACAAGAGAGATCTCTCATTCTGCCACGTGAGGATACAGCAAGAAGGTGTCTGTCTTCAAATCAGCAGAGAACCCTCACCAGCACCTCACCATGTTAGCATTCTGATCTTGGACTTCTCAGCCTCTAGAACTGTGAGAAATAAGTTTCTGCTGTTTAATAATCTACCCATCTACAGTATTTTTTAATAGCATCCTGAACTGACCTAGACATATACTGACATGCTGGGAGAATCATGTGTCCTGAGGTCACGGAAGCTCTGCATTTCATTGGGACCCTTCCCAGACATGGCCCTCTGTGTCTCTTCAAAGATTCAGCTGATCCTGATGTGTAGTCTTTATAAAAGCTGTAATTGTTATTTCAGTGCTTTCATGAGTCCTGTGACTTGTTCTAATAAGTTATTAAACTTGGGGGGCATGGTAGGAACCCCTGAATTTGTAGCAGTTGGTTATAAGGATCTTTAAAAGCTCCCAGTTCTGGCGTCTTAATCCTGAGAGCCCAAGAGCTTGTGGTTGTGTCTGTAGTTGAGAAGACTCTTGTGGGAGGACTGTGTCCTTCACCTGTCAATTTTGCCCTAACTTCAGGTAGTTCTAACTGCAAGTAGAGGTCATTGTCATCATCCAACAGAGAAGGAAAACTAGACTTGAAGAAGGAAGGAACGTATCCAAAGACATACAGCTCCTGATGGGTGATACCAGGTTTCTTTTTTTTTTTGAGAGAGAGAGAGAATTTTTAATATCTATTTTGTAGTTTTCGGCGGACACAACATCTTTGTTTGTATGTGGTGCTGAGGATCGAACCCAGGCCGCACGCATGCCAGGCGAGCGCGCTACTGCTTGAGCCACATCCCCAGCCTGATACCAGGTTTCAAAACGGAGTTATCTAATTCCAAAACCCATTTGCTTCTCACTATTTTGCGATGAGATGGGATTTCTGGATTAGTCTTGAGAAACTTGCTATCACATTATCTGTCTCTTGGAATAAACATTATTTATTCAATCTGCAGTGATTTGCCCGCAAAAGATTCACTTTTTCATTTGGAGACTTATGGTCAAAGGCAGTGCCATCTCTGGCTGCAGAACGGTGTCCTCACAATCATTGTCAAAAGGTTTGTGCTACGGGCTGGGGATGTGGCTCAGTGGTAGAACACTTGTCTAATATGTGCAAGGTCCTGGTTTCAATCCCAAGCCCTGAGGAGAATAAAAAACGATTGTGGTGAAGGGGACTCAGGCTTTTGGTGCTCAAAACTTTAGACTCTCAAATCAAAAGTGTTGGTTCACCAAAGAAGATATACAGACAACAAGTGAACTCATGAGAAGATGTTCCACATCATTTGACATTAAGGAAATGCAAATTAAAACTACATTGAGATACCACTAGAATGACAGGTAACCAGTAAGTGAAATAAGACAATATGAGGTGCTAACAAGGATGTACAGCAATGAGAGCTTCTCCTATCTGCTGGTGGTGTTGCAAAATAATACAGATACTTTGGGAAACAGTTTTAGTAGTTTCTTATTAATTTGAGCCCATACTTACCTTATGATCCAGCAATCCAATTCCAAGCAAAATGAAAACTTATATTTGTGCAAAATCCTATATACACTGTTATAGTGATTTTATTCATATTCACCAAATATGGGAAAAATCTGATGTCCCATAATGGATGAATGGAGAAACTGTAGTACATCCCTAAGATATAATATTTCTCAGCAATAAAAAAAGAACTCACATATCAGTGTTTATAGCAGCATTATTCACAATAACAAAAAGGCCGAAGCCCAAATGTCTATCAGTGGATGAATGGTCTTACAAAATGCAGAATATACATTCAATGAAATTATTCAGCCCTAAAAAGGAATAAAATTCCGAGACATGCTACAGCATAAATGGACCCTAAAAACACGCTAAGTGAAATGAGACAGACACCAAAGGACAAATGATTCCACGTATATGAATTACCTAGAATAGACCAAATTTAGAGATACAGAATATAGAGGTCTATGAGGGGGAGGGGGAGGGAGAAATGGGAAGTTATTATTTAATGGGTGCAGCATTTCAATTTAAGAAAAAGTTCCAAACATGGATGATGTTGATGTTTGGACTGCAAAGTTGAGACAGGAGAATCTCAAGTTCAAAGCCAACCTCAGCAAAGGCAAGGTGCTAAGCAACTCAATGAGACCCTGTCTGTTGAGAGCCACAGCCAAGTTGGAATGGCCCCTGGCATTTTTCCAGAAGTAATGGTTGAGAGGCGAGCCGTTAAGATGATGCTGGATTGATTCAGTTGTATATAGACCCCTGCTGTCCACCTCAGGTGCCCGCTACTTTGGAGTTCTTGCTTGGGGATTTCCTGGGGAGTTCGCATTGGTTGGGGAGGTTCCGGGGTGGAGGGAGTTCCGGTTGGTGTGGTGTGCCGGAGAGGGGCTGCGTGGGAGAGTTCCTGGGGAGTGTGCGTGGAGTGCTGTTGGAGTTCAGGCAATAAAGTTTCCTGTTTGAACATACAAGTGCTTTGTGGTGGCTCAGTGATTTGTGCCCAGCCAGACTGCGGCACCTGTCTCTAAATAAATACAAAACAGGGCTGGGGATGTGGCTCAGGAATGGTTAAAACAATCACTCTTGCATTATGCATGTCTTACTACATTTTAAATAAAAGGACTAAACTGCCGATACCCATATGGATGACTCTCAAATAAATTATGCTTAGTGAAAGAAAACAAAGCCAAAGGTCACATACATTATGTTTCCATTGGTTTCATATTCTTACCAAAGTAAAAGTACAGTTGTTTAGAGCTAGGCATGGGGTGAAGGCTGACTACCAAGAGACACTGGGAAATTGCAGGGATTGATAGAACATGATTATGTGAGGTTTACATGACTATATATTTTTGTTAAAACTCATAGAACTGCACACTAAATAAGATAATTTTCATGGTAAATGAATCTGTCTTAGTCCATTTTCTGTTGCTATAATAGAAGACCAGAGACTGGGTGAATTATAAAGAAAAGAGGTTTATTTTGACACATAGTTCTGGAGATTGGGAAATCCAAGAGCAAGATGCCACTCCTGCTTGACTTCTGATGAAGTGTGGCTTCAACTTATGGTAGAGAGTGGAAGGATAAGCAGGTGCTAGTGAGAGAAATGTTGATATTGAACTCTTCCCAGGAGAAAGCCATTAATCCATTCATGAGGGCCCCACTCCCATGACCCAGACACCTCCCATGAGGCCCCACCTCCCCACACTGCTGCATGGGGGAATGAAGGTTCCAACACACATACACACACACACACACACACACACACACACACTTTGGAGGACACACTCAAATCATAACAAAATAGTCGGGGTGAGCCGGACACAGTTGCACACGCCTATAATCCAAGTGGCTCAGGAAGCTGAGGCAGGAGAATCTCAAGTTCAAAGCCAGACAGCAAAGGCAAGGCACTAAGCAACTCAGTGAGACCCTGTCTCTAAATAAAATACAAAACAGGGCTGCGGATGTGGCTCAGTGGTTGAGTGCCCCTGAGTTTAATCCCCAGCCCACTCCCCCCCAAAAAAAATATAGTGGGGGAGTGTGGGCTTTAGAAATTCTATTTATCCTCTGCATCAACAAATGCTAGTTAACATCAGAGAAGGGTAAAGATAGAAGGACCTGGAAGAAGAAAATGCCTTGAATAATATCTCAAAATATGAAAAACCCAACTTGTCCCCACAGTGCTTATGAACGGTTCTCCTGATTGACCTCTTGGGACAATCAGCTCCCAGTTATTTGTGTGCATTGATCACAGAACTGCTTTGGCCTTATGGATGCCACCGCCCATCACGAGGAGGCCAAAGTCCATGCCGTGGGTGGTACACCCCCCCCCCACCTTCCTGGAACTTTTTATTATGAGGATATCGGAGTGGACCTGAAAAAGGGCCTCCGCCCTGACTAGCTCTGTGCCACACTGAGCCTGAGCTCACTCCTCCTTAGGCACACCGGGCACAGCGCTGAGGGCCTGCTCAACTTTTAGTGCCTATGATATAGTTTTAATTTTTTTGAATGTCAGAAGAAAAAAAATGATCTTTACAGTAAAAGAAAATGTTTTAACAGTTACTCTAGTTTGGATGTTGAATATCCCCCCCAAAGGCCGTGTGTTAAAGGTTTGGTACTCAGGGCGGCACTACTGGGTGGTGGTGGAACCTCTAAGAGGTGGGACCTAGTGGGAAGTCCTTAAGTGGCCTTGAAGAGGACAGTGGGCCCCTCTTCCTCTTCTCTGTTCCCAAGCTTATGATGTGAGTGGTTTTACTTATCATGATGTGCTGCCTCACCACAGGTCAAAAACAATAGGGCTAATTGCTTGTGGACTGGAATCTCCAAAACTGCAAGTCAAAATTAACCCTTTTGATTTATAGATTTATTATCTCAGGTATTTTGTTACAGTAACTGGAAGTTGACAGACACAATATGTAGTATTAAGATATTCACCTTTATACCAATGTAGTTATAAAACATAATTTTCAACATTTTTTTTAATGGAGGAAGGGGCCCCAAAAGGCAAAAGGACCTAGGAACTTTTATAATCAAAATTCAACCCTTCCAAAAGCAGTTCTCAGTGTGCCAGGATCTCACAAAATCTCTCCTGAACAGTTGGGTCAGCTTTTTGCAGCTGATTAACTAAAGGGATTCAAACTGGATCAGATGGTGAGCACACAACTCTTTTTTTTTTTTTTTTTTGAGAGAGAGAGAGAGAAGAGAGAGAATTTTTTAATATTTATTTTTCAGTTTTTGGTGGACACAACATCATTATTTTATTTTTATGTGGTGCTGAGGATCGAACCCAGCGCCCCGTGCATGCCAGGCGAGCGCGTTACCGCTTGAGTCACATCCCCAGCCCCACACAACTCTTTACTCCTCTTCCCTTCTTTTCTGGCCCCCTCCCTCACCACAATTCCTCTCTACACTTCGGTTATAAAACAAAAACCAATCCCCTCTAAGAAGTTATTTCTTTGGGCTATGATATTGGTAATCCATGTACTTTGGGACCAAAATCTTGTACTTAAATTGAACATTGAATGTGCAGTGTTTCCTCTCAGTTCCCCTAAGCCAGGCGATGGGGGCATGAAGGTGAAGGCCTATGGCCTTCCTCTCCCAATTCAAGTCAAATTACTAACCATTTCAGCAGCTCCCTGGGACCAGTATGCAGAGAAACCCAGAGGATGCATGTGAGGCTTGGGCTCTCCTGGCATCCAGAGAGAGAGAGAGAAAACAGAAAGATTGACTCCCGCAGTGTCAGAGAGACACCTGGGGACTGACTGCTGACATGAGTGGGCCCAAGAGTTGGGTTTGGAGAGGTAAGTGGGCCCCTCCATCCCCCAT